CTCGTGGCAGCTTGTCTCGGTCGTCCCGGCCATGGCAAAGATCTTTTTTTCGAACGGCGGAAATTAGAAAATGACGACAAAGGTATCCTTTTTGGAGCCGGATCTCGGTCGTCGATGATTGGCTAAAAGTCCGTCGGTTAGGCCTGCGCAGCGATGATTGGCCACTACGGTGTCCTTTCGCTTTTTCTCGCGTTCGGATTCGCTGCATTTCAGCGAATCATCGACTATCGAAACCGGCCCGCCCTTGAAGTTCGAACGCCGAGCCAAGCGTTTTGGCGCCGGACAGGCGGCCGCCTCCGCACGGCGACGTCCATGGCCTCACGAGCTCTCTCTCTTCCGAGCTGCTAGCAGCAAGAAGCACGTCGACCTCGACGGCGCGCCGGTGCAGTGACGTAACACAATTCGACCAACGTTCTGGGGCAAGCCCATTTGCAGGCCAGCGAAGGCGAGCAAGCATCTGCACGTGGAGGCCCGTTATAGGATATCCTTGGATACGCCGGCGGTTGCGACGTCAGCGGTTGCCACGTGTCGGTTATTCCAACACTAGATTGAGCAACGCGGCGACGAGACGCCAGAGTACAGTAGGCTGAGCTCGTCCGGTGGGCAGCAAGCAAGCTCAAAAACATCTCGCGGCCTGGTTTTGCAGTGACCACTAAGCTGTCGCAGCAACACGAGCACTTGGCAAGGCTGCGTTGAAAGCACGTTCGCACCGTGTGTGAATTGTTCCTCCATGTTCGCGCGTACTACAATGTAACACTGCACGAGGACCTTCTTCGAGTCGCCGAAGGAAGCGCTGGACACGAGGTTTCCGCGTGTCCATTGCACCACTGGATTTTGGATTTGTGGTAACCGGCTAAAAACACGCAGTTGAGGTTTTGTGTCACGGCGTGATGGGCCCGCCAGGACTTGAACCTGATCGGGTGCACGGCAGTGGACCTGCGGTCTCTCGGCGGCTGTCTGCGTCCACGCGGCCGCCGCCATTCCGCTACGGTTTTCCAACCGGTTCGAACAGGCTCTAATCGGTACTAGCGGTTCGAAGCTGCGACAGACGCTTCGCGGCGCTTCGTCCGCGGCGGCTTCCTCCTGCAAGAGTTCACCCTGCTTCGCCGCGATCCGTCGTGTGATTGGTATGCGTCCAACGCGCGTTCATGTCACAACTCAACTTTGAACCTCTCGTTCGTACGCTGGTGGCAGGTAGCCGAAGTTCTACTTCCAGATCTTCGGATTAACCGAAGTTGCAACCGCCAATAAGAACGCGGCGCTCGGTCGCGTGGATTGCCAGCGGCTCGATCGCTTGCCATTCTGCAATTTCCTCCACAGCGTCCCTTCCCACGCCACCATGCTGCGCCACTCGTCGTCGCTCCTCCGCCGGACGCTGAGCTCGTCGACGCACCGCCCCAAGATCGCCGAGAGCATCACGGACCTCATTGGCAACACGCCGCTGCTCTACCTGAACAAGGTGACCAAGGGCTGCCACGCGCGCATCGCCGTCAAGTGCGAGTTCATGGAGCCGGCGAGCAGCGTCAAGGACCGTATCGGTTTGAGCATGATCAAGGTCGCCGAAGAGGAAGGCAAGCTCAACAAGGACTCGATCATCGTCGAGCCCACGAGCGGCAACACGGGCATCGGCCTCGCCATGGCCTGCGCCGCCCGCGGCTACAAGCTCAAGATTGTCATGCCCGACTCCATGTCGATGGAGCGCCGCATCTTGCTCAAGGCGTACGGCGCCGACCTCGTGCTTACGCCGGGCGCCCGGGGCATGACGGGCGCGTGCCTCAAGGCCGAAGAGATTGTACGCGAGACGCCAAACGCGATTCTCCTCCAGCAGTTTAAGAACGCGGCCAACCCCAAGATCCACTTTGAGACGACGGGCCCCGAGATCTGGCGCGACACGGACGGCAAGATCGACATCTTTGTCGCCGGCGTCGGCACCGGTGGCACCATCACGGGCACGGGCCAAGTACCTCAGCTCAAGAGGTCTGACGTCAAGATCGTGGCCGTCCAAGCCCGATGGAATGCCCTGTCCTCCTCGGGTCGG